GTATGAACTATTTATGATAACCTTTGTTTTAAATTTGTAATCCTTAACTATAAAAACTGAACATTTTATAATTTATTAATTACGATGATTAATAATTTTCGAGATTTTGAAAAATTCTGTCAAAATTCGATGTTTAAATGCATATAAAAAAATTGTGCCTATGTATTTTTAATATTTTTCAACTGATATTGAAACAATATATCAGGAGCCTTGTATTAAATTTTTACACTTTTTGGCCCAACAGATAAAACTTTATTGATATTCATAGAAAAAAAAACTAAAAAATGAAAATGTCCCTAAACAGTTCAAAATAAATCAAAATATTTTTAAAATGTTATCGTGTATAGAAAATGCAAATATAAACAACCAGTGAAAATTTCATGTATCTACGGTAATTTGTTTTAAAGTTACACCAAAAACCAAATTCAATTTTCTGAAAAATCAATTTTGCGTAAAAATTCCCGTTTTTCCTTAATTTTTCTTTTGTTTTTCTTGGCGCTTTTGAAAAGTACTGGAATTTTAAATTTTGACCTCCCCAATGCACCAACGATATTCACTTTCCAATCGAACAAGATACTGAAGTCGAAAATCGAAGCATTATTTCGAATACTTATCGTGTACACAGACACAAAAATAAAAAAAAAATAAAAAAATAAAAAAATACACATCATTGTAAAATCAATACATTCATCGTTCCACTCAGAATCTAAAATACACATATTATGCATTTTATTTATTTACTATTTGACACTGCTATGCTTTTGCTATTGTTAGGTTTTTATGATGTTCTACTCCTTTTGTATGTAACACGCTGTGGAATTGTAGAATCAATGCCTTTTTAAGTGTAAATGATATTACATTTTACTTTATAGCCATCCCGTCAGGCGTTTTCCACGTGGAGCGTGAGTACATAAGTGTATAATTTAACTCTAATGTATCAAAAAATGAAAAAATTGGTCTACCGAAACCGTGGTTTGAACTCTATACATTCTGTACTAAAATACATAGGCTTATCTCATTAATAATAACAAGTATTATTATTACAACCAATAGCAAATTTATAAACAAAAAAATCTTTATTTTTAAATCTCAAAATGCTTGTTTGAGATCCTCTCCGGGTCATACCTCTTAATTACCTTTTTTCACGACAAAATGTAGCCTATCTTCTTTCCCAACGTCTAATCTATCTCAGTACAAAATCTGATCGCAATCGGATGAACGGTTTAGAATTGCATATAGGACATAGGATACTTTTTTTATCTTGTATATAGATTTATAATTACTTAAATACCTGAAAGAAGAAAGTTGACTTTTTTTTAAATTACCATACTGCTTGTAGGTATACGATCAAATACCAACATTTCATACTTTGAAATATTTGTATAGGCTTGTACAAACATTTTATATTTTAAGTATAAAGCGAGGAATGTGTTCGCTCTATGATGATGTTTTTTCTTTATATAAATTACCTATTTATTCTGTAACCAACTTTAATGTAGAAATTAGAAGAAGTTCTTATAAAGTTTGACGTTCTACTTTAAGTATTATGAGAGGTATAATATTATATGACGTATATATTTGAACTTTAAAGACACATATTATCATAGCCGTCCCAAGGGGAGGGGGAAATGGGGCAAGTGCTCTAGGGCGTCTAAAGTATTATGAATTTAGGGGGCGTACTAAAAATGAATGATAAAAAGAAAAATGTTGTGTTTTTATTTTAGGTATTATTTTTATTTTTAAACTGTAATATCAAAGATGAGTACCTATCATATTGTATACTATTAAATATAAAATTATGTAAATAATGTGTTAAATCTTAATGCGACATACCTTCAATAATATATTCAATATTCATAAAAACCAATTAAAAATATTAATACTCATAAGTTATAAGGCTACAATAATAATTTATTTACATGAAATATATTTTAAATATGTATACACATCATTAAAATAATTAACTAATACACTTATAAACTAAACTAATTCATATCTCTGGTAGTATTAAATATATTTTTCAATTGAAAAAGATTTTTATTTCTGGTTTTGTAACCGACAAATTTAAGAACATCTCAGTATGGATTACAGAAACCATTTTTAATTATAAACAAAACGAGGTCCTTAATTGTTGTGTTTAATAATTTTCCTTTAATTTGCCTGGTAAAATATGGAGAAATGTCATCATTATTTTATATTTATAGAATAATATTTCAATAATACATCAAATATCTATATTGACAGTGAAATTTGATTCATACATAAATACATTAAAATAATGTGATTTTGATATTTTGTTATCAAATACGAAAATAGTAAATTATTAGTTGGGCTGGGACCTGGGGCCCCTGCAGTCTATGGGCCTCAGTGATAAACAACCCCCATCTTCGGGTAGTTGTGCTACTGTAAATATTATACTCAAAGATGTATATTATGTTATAACGTATAACCAACTCATTATCAATTTTACCCACTTCTTAAAATAAATAGAGTTTGTGTATTTTGACTCAATTCTGTATATTATATTCTGATATTCACTTATATTCACTTGTACAATTTACAATGTTGACTGTTATACACGCCACACACAGAAACGCAGAACTTATGATTTATAATAAAATCCACTAATTTGTGAAAATAGTAATATATATTTTCTTTCAGTAATGTACTCAGAATAATGAAATTGGTGTCAACTTCGAAAAAATCATAAAAAACAAAATAAATATGATACCAATAATAATAATAAAAAAATAAGTAGGAACCTTTAATTAATAAGTATTAAGCATTCATTAAAGGTATGTGGTTAATTATAAGCTAAAAATGCGAAGTCGAGATTTTTTGTGGGAGGGATAGAGGGGTGTCAAATATTGTTTTCCTAGGGCGTTATTGTTGGTTAGAGCGGCACTGCATATTATATAAAATATATACATTTGTACATTTTATAATGTCCTTGGAATTTTTGGTTATGTCTATTATTAGTGATGGCTGGTAAATGGTGATAGGTATATGATAATACACTGAAACTCAGTCTGAAAGTATTGAATATTTTCAAGAAAAATGTATTGAGTATATTAGTAAGATCATTTCGAGATGGATTAAAATAAAAATGACGGCCAAGTTCTTTGCCCGTAATATGAATGTATCTATATATAATATAGAAATTCAGTACAGGTACCTATGAAAACTAACTTTTAAATCAAAACCTTATATTTTGTTTGATGACTGTAATAAATAATAATATTAAGTATTTAAAATATAGCCTAATCCCATAAGCATAAGTTTACGAGTCCGTATAGGTATCGATGAAAATCAGTATTGTTCTAAATACATTATTATTATCCTCGCTACGGGAAAATATGGGAAAATCCTTTAGCACTAATGCATTTTTTTTTTTTAAATATCTATTTCGTTTGAGTTCCTACGCTGCAAGTCCATATTATTATTATCACTATAGCTGGCTCGTCGCATCACATTTACATAAGCCCCTCGAATACCTAGGTATGTGTGAATATAAGCTATTAGGTATAATAATCGATTTCAAGTAATATTTTCTCTCCGCTATCTTTTTTCCGTTTTCCCGCTTTTCCGGCATAAATATTTACTCATTGCTTCCTGAAACACAGACGAACGTGTCGTTAATGAGGTACAACGGTATGTATAAGTAGGTAGATTTATATATAGCAATGTTCATTTATAAAATATTATCAATGACTTCCTCACAACTCGTTTATTGCAATAATAGTATAAAACTATAATAATATAGATCAAACTTTATTCAAATCTGATTATTATCCAATGATGACTTTGTATTATTAATATTACAACCATTATTTTCCGCCGTCATCATATAAATGGACAGGTCTGCGTAGTATAATTGTATAATAGTATATATTATAATATAATGATTATTAATACTACCTGTTATAAAATAATGTTTTATATTATGATTTAAATATAATAATATGATAGTATTCTGATGCAGTGGAAAACAATTAATGACTTTTCGCACATTCGTATTATGTACGGGTGCAGCAGAGTAGCAGACGTAGATAATTAATTGTAGGTAGGTTTTATCGAACGGCTTCTCGATGTTCACCTTTGAACTGTTTGTTTCCAGATTCTTGCGGACGTTGGACGTTCATTATAGAAAATACACAATTACATTAATTTATGACTAAATAATTATTCTAAATAATGATTAATTATAATAATAAAAATCATAATCAAAATAACGCTAAATAGCAATATTTTATCATGTACCTACACTATAATAATATCAAATTATCTTCATCTCTTAACCAACTAATAATATTTAAATTTAAAATACTATAATAGTGCCCATACGTTATAATAATTATAACAAATTATTTGTTATAACTTTAAAAGTGTACATGGGTTCACTATACTGTATACTATAATATTATATATTGCAGTATGCATATATTATTATTATTTATTGCACCTTATTATATTTTTACAACATTTTAAGAAAGAGCAATTTTTGTCGAATGGTCATGAGTTTTCAATACCTAAATATTGTTAATTATTATAGTAATATATACAGGGTTATTCAAAACGACACATAATCTGTTGCTCGGAACTTAGCCTACTACGCCACCTGATATTACTCAACGTAAAAATGGCAACACAGTTAATCATTATCATCGACCACATAGCAGCTGAAAAATTGTCAATAAGCACAACGGATATTATTCTGGAGCAAGTATAATATTATATGACATGAATAATGAATTTGACTATAATATATTGGATGTCGTTTGTGTTTATGTGATTGGAAGTCTTGTAGTACATTAATTTATTATATTATGTATCAAAAACTAGATTTTAAATATTATTATCTTATTACATGATGTATCACCTATCAATTATTAGGTATTATCTAAACCTGTAAGAACGGCCCTAAATGGTATAACAATTATTCGAAACCGGACGAATCGTTTCGAATGACCCTGTACAGTACGAATGTAAACGATAGCCTTTTAGTACCGTTTTAATGTATATGTATATACAATATAGGGTGTCCCAGCAGAAGTGGACATTTTAAGGAAGCCAGGATTTTTTTTGTTTCTGGGTTGACAGCACTGTTCCAATGTTTTTCTTATCTTATAACATCCCCCATTTGTCATCGTAAAGCAGTTTTTGGTATTCGTCGTCATGGAGAGGTTCACGGTAAAGTTGAACAACGCGTAACAATAGTGAAAACGCACTACAAGTGCGGAGAGTGTTTCGCGGAAAAGTTGTGAAACTTTCGACGTTTTCGCATCTTTCTTGGGTGTGTCTTGAGTTTTCTGTCCCCCAAATTCGACAGTTTTGCGACAGTCGCTCGCGTCGGAGTATTGTTTCGTCCGAAGCTTTCGCAACGTTTCCGCGACACACTCTCCGCACTTGTAGTGGATTTTCACTATTATTACGCGTTGTTCAACTGTGAACCTCTCCATGACGACGAATACCAAAAACTGCTTTGCGATAACAAATGGGGGATGTTATAGGATAAGAAAAACATTAGAGCAGTGCTGTCAACCATGAAACAAAAAAATTCCTGCTTCCTTAAAATGTCCGCTTCTGCTGGGACACCCTATATGCGTATACCATATACGTATGGGTATATATATACAACACGTAAACAATTTTGCGTTTAATTGGGCAAGCTGCCGGGGCCGAAGTTCATTTTCGCAGTTAATAATAAGTTAATATACTATTATAAGGTTGTTTATCTATTAAAAAACACAAGTAATATTATAATATTATAGGTACGTCTGCAGCGCGTTCGAAAATTTAGACAACCGATAAACGTAAAAAAAATTTGATTATTGCTTAATTCGTTTTTAAAATTTGTCTACGGTGTAATATTATAATAATATTTGTGTAACCGTGTACATTGATTTCCGAGAATACGAATAAATTCGATATTAACACAATCAGACAGAATTATGAGTTATACGTCATATAATATTATAATATTCGCCTATACTATATAATCACAGGATGGCTAACCATAATAATATAATGCAGTGTATAATATTATAAGACATTATAGTATTATACAGAGAAACGTACTATATTATATATTATTATTATTATTATTATTTGGACATATCTGCAATGAACTGCTGACGTGTTGTGTTTTGTATTAGTTGTTCAGGTTAAATTTGTAGGGTTCGGTAAATATTACGTATCCAATATTTTTACCGAAAAAAAATTGTTAAAATTATTCACTAGATTTGAATATACCAGCTTCATTTAAATGTCTGCCAATACCTATAGTAGGTACATAATATATACCTATAGTTCAATAATATATTTTAAATACAATATGATTACATCATAAATAATAGTTGACGGATACAATTAATATACTGTAATAACAATAAATGTGTCTACAAATTCAAAAGCGAATTGCTGGAAGACCAATAATACGACTAACCTCCTTGCAGTACTGTCTTCTGGATAACGCTAATATATATTATATATCCAGCCATATAGGGACGCAATTCATCAATATTATAGTAGTAAAATAGGTACAACTGGGACGTAAATCGCCTAGTTTTAAGAAAATGGGATGCATTTTATCCAACACCAAATATTTATATATATACGTACACAAAACGATGAGATTTTCGATTTTCCTCATCACAGTTGATAAGGCGTTGAGTAGAAATACGAAACAAAAACCACCGATATCGTTAATCATCACACGTCGTTATTGCCGAATACAAATATGATATTTATGATATAGAATTTCCTGGGGAGTTGTGGTTTTTTATCATTTTATTTTTCTTCTGCCTGTGATATATTAATTTTTCAATTATCTATTCGACGAACTAATTTCGGATTTAATTAATTTCAATCGACTGAAAAATTGTACGAAACAAATATTATTAGTACTAAAGTCACAATTAATAATTATAATTAATTTCTGGAAAAGTCACTTTAATCAACATCAACAACTATAACTAGCCTCACCAGGCTATACCAATGGAGGCCGATTTTTTTTTGATTAAGATCTACTTAGGGTATGTTTTTTTATTTTAGGATCGACAAATGTAAAAAATTATATTTTATTAATAATAAACATGTTTATATAAATAATAAAATTACAGTGTTAATAAGTTAAGTAAAACGTGTGTTTCGCATTAATTTCTAAATAATTTTAAAATTTATCAACATTATGCTGTTAATGTAGAAGCGTTTCGTTGCATATCATGGCGATAGTTAATTATAATCTCGGTAATAGTCGCTATAACTGTTAAAACGAAGACGCTGCTCTACAACAATATGTTCATCAGCAAGTAAAACTCGATACCTATATTCAGCTAAAATGCCACTTCACACTAACAAGTCAATCTAAAATATGTTTTTGATAACAACTAGTTGTATCTACTAAATGTATGACAGTAAATTCTAACAAGAGGATCGACTAAGAAATCGTCCAATGTCGACCAGTCGATCGCGATCGACCACCACTAGGTATACCATCCAAACTATGTACAGTCTTTAATGATGTAATAATGTAATATAATATATTAGAATATTATGATGTACAATAATGGATCCCTACCAACTAGTCCCTTTTACAATAGCATAAGTCACGACAAAAGCAGCCACTCACAGACACTCGGGAAATCTCAATCGCGGGCTCCGTTTTATATACGTGACTACGTAATAATATATCTATATAGGCAAATGCGTGTGTGCGTGGGTGGGTGGGTCTCAGCAGGGAATGGGTTCAAAGCAGCACATAGAGTAAAATATAATTATTTTACTATCCCATAGTGTTATCACTAAAATACAATCATTTTCGGCGTATTCTAAATTCCAGCACGGGTGCAGCTTTTGAGGGTAATAACTATTATGGTGTACACTAACCACAGTTTCCTGTGTTTTGACTTATTCGGAAATTCTGCGAGCGTTCGTACCAAATTATTTATGACATTTTTGTGTAGATATAGTTTTAGCATTTAAGTTTATTAAACATTTTTTTTTTTTTTAAATGTTGGTTCTCCTAAAATAATTAACTGTGTTAGTTCAACTGGGTTAGTTTAACTGGAGACTGTAGCGTGTGCTCGACAGTACCTATATGATTCTAAAATCATATTATGTTTGTACTTTGTATCGAATTAATCCACTATAAAAACAGAACATTTTCATTTTACAAATAATTACTTAACGATTCGATTTCGAATTTCAAACCTATTGATAATGGGTTTTATATAAAATATAAAATAAATGTAAAATGTAGCATACCTAATTAAATATAGCATTTAAATTTTTACTCGGACAATTTTTACAAATTATAAAATCATCAAAATGCTATATAAAACGTAGTATAATCGGTTATTGCCTTTATAAAAAATATATATAAAATACATAAAATATAAATTATTAAATATTTAATTTTTATATAAAATACATAAAAATTAAATTCAGTTCGAAATCAGTTCAAATTATAATTTCGATATAATATGGACAGTATCAAAAAAGCATTTGCTCAATATTTTACAACTAAAAAAGTTGGTTCTCATTTAATGAGATTTTTTTATGGCCAAAGAGCACTTGATAAATGGTAAATATACAAATAGGGTCTTTACAAGCATCTGGCTATACTTATAAATTAAAAAAAAATTGAATTTAAATAAATGCATGATTAAAAGATTGAGTGTGAGAAGTGAGCGTGCTTATCACTCTGTATACCTATGTATAAATATATTATATATTTAAGCCAAATCTAATCTAATCTCCAATAGTTATCAATGTCTTCAGCAGTTGAAAAAAATTGTGAATTGTACATATTGTTATTATATAATAATGTACCTCATCCTACTGTTATAAAACGTGCATCAATATCACGTAATAAGTATCCATACCCAATAAATAGTAATTAATAGCATACAATATATAGGTACGAGCTAGAATATAAGAGAAAATTCGTCACCTTATTTATTGATCACGTACCTAGGTCGATAATTAATTCGGATTGAAGCGATTGTAAATCAATTACCCAATTACTAATATTATAATTACAACGAAATATATTTCAATGTTATCTTTAACGAATAATATTATGCATTATTGCAAATACACTGTAATATAATATACACATTGTTAATTAGTTGTTATTTTTATTTAAGTGATAAAAAAGATTCACGTGAACACCAAATGAGTCTACTGCAGCAGCAGTAATCGCAGGTGCTAACGAACTTTCCGACTATCGTAGAATGTACAACAGAAATTATGTCATAATGTGTTTGAGTCTCGTATGTACCTACTCGTGTGAATAGAATCGCGATTGTAATATTATGGGAGACAGAATAATATATTTGTACATAACAGTTGGAGAATAAAGCTTCGAGAAGCGTTTTGTTCGCTCGTTTTCCCATTTTGCAAAAGTTTCACGAGCAGTAACATAATATTATTATTGCCGTACCTAAAGAGCCAGATTTTATGAAATTAATTAAAGTATTTTTTTTTTTTGTTTTGTTTGCCCGAATTGAAAATTTCATATATTCGTTTTCATGCGTGAATCTAATACTTGAATTAATATAATTTACGTAAATATTTTAAAGTTGAATAATCCGTTTCCGTTGTGTAGGTAGGTACTTATTGAGATAATAATGTGATTCATGACTTATTGTATAACTTATTTTATCAACTTTCGCAGATGTGTACAGTAATTACGAATGCGAAATGTGATCATGCTGCTACCTATACCTATACGTATAATACGTATATTATATTATTATTATATAATATAATATTTAGTGGTTTCGTTTGCGCCGTTCGAATTTGCCGAAAACCAACAGACTAAAAATTTGGCACCACATTCTGCAAGGGGTTGTGTACCAACCTATTACACATATTATATTATATTATACGGGTGTATACCTTATATTATGGCAAAAGAAAAACGCCAATCGGCCAAATCTCTCGGGGTGTGACGCCGTATACATGTAGATACCTATATATACACACACGAGACAATGTTGTCTCGAAACGATTTCTGATTGCGATTCCCTGGGTTTTTCTGTTATTCGTAAAAAAATAGGAGGAAAAAAAATCGACCACTTCAGCTATTTCGCGCCGAGCACAATATTGCTCTTTACTTATATATATATATATATATATATATAAATAAAAAATAAATAAACAAAATCACCCGACCCCCGAGGGTGCGGTCAAATATTTGGCAAAACGGTATAAAAGGTTTTCGGTTTCAATTGTTCCCCGGGGTGCAAAGCGAGTAAACGAGCCCCCCTCCGAAAAAAGGAAAAAAAGGTCCTTGCACACATTTCAAAAAGTAAACACCACCGCCCACCCACCGGATATACGTGATAACAATACATATATATGTCTATCTATCCACATACCGTAGTCTCCAGTGTCCTTCTATAGTTCTATATATATATACCCTTATGCAGGACCACAACGCTGTGCATTATTA